TACGATGCATTGACCTGATAGATCGTACAGCTCTTTTCATAGGGATTACGTTACGCGTAAAAAAGCATTATAAATCGAACCAAAGCTAGGGAATATATATGCACTCAAGGTTAGTACAATGTACGTGGTTAAAGTCATTTGTTTTTTACCACTGGTATCGATGACAACGATTCTACAAATATATCCAAACGGCCCTTATAAACTTAATGCGAAGTTTACCAAATCGTAACTTCCAAACTAAATGATGCCAGTTGCTTTTTTCGGCAGTAGACGCTTTTTTCGTTCAATGGCTAAGATTCAACGACATACAACTTTATAGACACCTAAATAAACAGACGGCCAAACTGTTCACGTTCAACTAGAAAGACGCTGAAGTTATAAAAGCAGACTATTTCGTTCACTCTTTGCTTCAAACATTGTGATTGTTTCAACGGCTATTAACCTTAGCTCGCAGTTAATTAATTATCTTTTCGTTATTTTGTTATTCCCTTTTTATTTTCTCGTATTCTTGCTTTCTTTCTCTTACATTGTGCCTACGGAAACGAGGCAGCTTCCCATTGATGTTGACCTTATGGAAAGGTCGTTTTCATCACAGGAATTCTATAAGTCGTCAGAACAAAGCCTAGCATAGCTTCAACATTACGTCAGCGGCGCGAACATCACTTACGAGCTACAGCCATAGCGGACTGTATCGGTCCGGGTTACGGTATCTTTTACTAGACGTCAACGTTCAACCGAACCGACGTGAGCGTCAAGCTTGCCTGTATGTAATCTACCAGTAGAACACGTCAGAGGATAATAAAAACTGAGTGGTAGAGCCATCGCAGCAACTCACGGCAACGATTTATAACAACAATAACAAGTAGATCAGCAATGGGCAGCTCCACTGTCACAACGATTGGTTTTCTTCCAACTGGTCTTTTAGCCCATGTTGTTCCTCTGCTAACAAAAGGCGCTAACGTTCGTTAAGTCCTCGAAAAGGCAAAAAAAAGACCACGACAAATCGACGCACGAAAAAGCTTGTGACTCCATGGGCTGTTGTTGCCATTGTCAGGCGAAACAAATAAAGCAGGTCAATCTACATCTAAGCATCGCTTGGACCTATCATGTCGCGCGCGAATCGCTTGTTAACAACAAACGAAACTAAGTGTTGCCATTACTAAAGCGGCGACGAGGACAACAACGCCGCCGCCGCCGCCGCCGCCGCCGCCGCCGCCGCCGAAATCCGTACAATTTCAATACATGGGTGAACAGCGTCAGCGGAACGCGTACGCCCCTGCCGCCGCTGGGGCTTGTGCTGTTCGAATGATCGTGATGGTCTTGGTGGCGGCGCGGGAGACAAGCGCTAAGAAGATCGATCGTGATGCTTGGCTGATTGAGTGTTCGTTAGAAAAATGAGCAGCGAGCGTCACTCGATTTAAATGTTCGTTAGAGTTTCGTAGCTTTTGGATATTGTTTTTTCTTTTTGTGTGCTATACATTGCACTTGATTAGCGCTTAACGTTAGTCGGATACGCGGCACCGTTCTTCGGGCAGTCACATGACGTTTGAGATGATGACTGGACATTTTGAGCTTGTATTTACTTCGTGACGTTATACAAGGCTTCGATAAATGAGAAAAAAATATTTTTTTCGATTAAAAACTCATATTTAATAATGCGTTCAGGCTAAGGATTATCTATCGATATTATACAGTACAGTATTAAATTGTTCTTGAGTCTTATAGATTCGCGTCTGATGTACCAAATGCATCTGAGAAAACAAGTGTTTTCAATATGTTCTTCATAGAACTCAAGAGATGAAGCAACGCATACGTTCGAACAAACATAAGAATGACACAATTGATAAGCTTATCAACAATTTACTGATTAATGGTTGTACTTCGCACGAATCTCTCTGACTGTGATCGGATGGCCTGGTGGCAGCGCGTACTTAGGTATCGCAAAACATCCGTCGTCATCCATGCGTTCAGCATTAGGTCGTAAAGTAACAGGGTCGTAAGCTTCATTTGCTGAACCTAAAAAACCTCTCAGGCGAAAAAGGTTACATCACCTTCTGCTTTCGTTGTAGCTTCTGCCGCCGAGCTTATCGTTAGTGTCGTCGTCGTCGTTGTTATTATTGTTATTTGTCGCTCGTCTTTTATGCTGCCTGTAGACGTTGTAAAGATAATGTGCTAGCCGCTGACAGACAATCAGGTGTCACTCGAGTCGTGAGTCAGACGCATTCATGAGGACGTAAGCGTAGGCCGCCACCGTTCTCAGCTGCTGTAGTCTCTAACTGGCTGTTTTGGATAAAATGGTCGTTTCGTCTTCTCGCTCGTTTCCGCTGACTCCCTGATTTGAAACGCCCTTTAGTGTTTGTCCTTGGTTGGCCTGCGCATTTAAGTGCCTTTGCACGGTTTCGGGTTTGCTTCGAGTAAGGTGCTGCCGCTGCTGCGCTGAACGTCGCAGCTGCATCCGAGGTAGCTAAGAAAAAGCACAAAGGAGTTGGATAGCGACGATAGGATGCTATTGTAGAACGCTACGAACGGAACATAGGAGGAGCAAGCAAACAACAACGAAAAATTTTAAACGTACCTGGCAAAGACGTCCCCGTATTTGCTGCTGCTGCTGCTACTACAACTATACGAAGTACTATTCGTAACGGCAGCGCGACAGACAGGTAATCGTTGGTGGCTGCTGCTGCGTTTAAGAGTCATCTTTTCTGTTTCTGCCTGGGTCAGTGTTACCGATGAGCGGCAAGAAAAGGCTATTTATTAGAGGGGTTGAAACGGGACGGGTTGTGGACAATATCGGACAGCTATCCGAACAGTGAAAAATAATAGGAAGGGTGACAAAGGCCCCGTGAGCCTGTCTGTCTATGCCGACGATGGCTGATATCTCAGCTCAAAATTTTCCATTTGGGGCGGGGGACTAGTACTTGTTAACGGGTTTACATTTTCTCGTAGGATGCTATATGGTACACGCTTATATACATAAGACATGGCAATACGTAAGCACATTAAGGCCCGATATGGTCAACAGTTTCTATAGAGAGTATACCGAGCTATGAGTCGTATGCGAAGAGGAACAGTACACAGATAAAACAAGAAAACCTGTTACCTACCTTGTTCTAACCAGAAAGAGCAGAAAAGTAACAATGATTCTTAGGCTCACCAAGCTAAGCGGGTGTACAAGGCACGAAGAGCCTCGACCTTGCATAAGTTCGTTAGCGAGGGATTTCAGTTTGTCGTCTGCTTGTTCGAATTCGGTATAGATACGCTTAAAGAGAACCAGAGAAACATAGTCAGTCGCTGGTCGCAGAACCATTGCCGCAATTTGAGCGCTTGATAATAATCAAGTTGGGCAGGTCTAATTAAAATAAAAAATACGCCTTCCTGCAAAGAGAGATAAAAATGTTTGAAAAAAAATTAATTTTTGTATTGCTGTCATAGATATGCTTCTCGGTGAGTTTCTGGAAAATATGTAGGATATCATAGGTCTGAAAATGTCTGTTGTTCTGTACTTAATTCTCATTGTGCTCCTCAATTATCTTTTATTAATTACCGTGGCATTATTTAGGTCCAACAGATTTTGTCGAGACGTACTCAAATCTCTGCGCTAGCACTTTCTCACGTGATTGTTTACTCTCAACAGAAAGGTCAAAATGGCGACAGTTAGAAGCTCTTAATTTTTGCCAACAACATCTGGTTAGAGCATTCATCACAGCCACGAGGGAAGGGGCAGCAGACCAGGGCTCAGAAAAGCACTTTATCTTGGCCTAGCTTTTCAAGGCTCTACTACAAGCAAGGTCCTGCAAGCCTGTGCGTTAGAATATTTCTGTTAGCAAAGTCTCATTTTGTATTACCTTACGCGAAATGGAAATCAGTAGAAACAAGATTGCTGCCTCGGGTATGCGCTTTTGTATTATGGTATCATTCTATCTGTCTATAGGACGTGACAATTATGTAGAACGATATACGATGCAACTGAAATGATATGCAGCAAACATCCGACGGCAAGACTTGGACCGGTTGGTCGTTTTCCCTCGAGCCAAAACAGTTATTAGAGAATCGTGTATGATAATAAATTCCGATGACCATTTTTCGCTGGCCTTGTCCCGGCGACTGATGCGGTGAAACAATCTGCGCAGGTCTTCTTTGTTATCTGACGATATATCAATAAAATCTCGAGACACGTAGAGACCGTCTTAAATATCCTCAAATCCCTGACGTAATTTGCAAGGTTAATGTGATCTCTGCAAGTAGCCATCTTTAGAGTAGACCTGAAAGGATAAGTCGATAAACCGAGAAGCCACTGTCGGTGCTGGCATAAGCACTTTGGTCTGTAACAAGATCCTCTAAAAGGCAACCGTTTGCCCTCGTTTAGGCACTACCGTGCGTTAGGAGATTTACGCACGTAAGGCAGAACCAACTGCTACGATCCAGGGAATAGGCCTGGTTGAGAGACTTAAATTTCTTTGCAGGAACTGATTGAACCGCAGAGCTCGGACTGTCCACGACGAAAAAACTTTTTTAGCAGACGCATTCATGTAAACATCCTGTACTATTATACCGCTATTATGTACGCATGAAGCCCATGAGTACAGTTACTAATTTCATAGTATTGTAGATATTACACAGATAAAACAAAAGAACATGTTACCTATCTTGTTCTAACCAGAAAAAGCACAAACGACATGTCTGTCTGGTATGATGCTACACTGTAATTAGCCTTATACATAGCATCCTTAGCATTCAAAGTATTCACGTAATTATCAGTAGAGCCAAACCTGTGAACAGTTCTACGAACGGAGCGTATGATTAATCGGCAAGTACCTCCAGTAGTGCTATTTAGCTCTACGTTCAACCGTAATTAATGAAAAAGCCATCATTTCTATCATACAGAGACCTGGGGCTTCTGGTTGTTTTTGTTCTGTGTGACAGATGCTAATCCTTGTGTGTGTTGCTCAACTTAGGCGCAACTTATCCCGCTAGTCGGCGGCTGCATCGGCTAAGTTTCGCTGTGGGCATTATAATCCCAGTCGAAGTCTGATTGTTCGCATGTCGTTCTACGATGTGATGTTGCATGCGCCTTTGTCCTACCGCTGCCTGTCTCCCTCGGCCGACTGTAGCTATATTCACTCATCTATGTTCTCTGAATACCATGCTGTAGGAAATCGTCTATAATACAAAGTGTCTAAGAATTCGTCTGTGAGAGTTGTGTGTTCGAGGACACAACGCCAAGTGGCCCTTTAGTCGTCGCTTACTTTGCCCGCCTTTCTCTAGCAGGACCGGGCAGTCACTGTTTGCGAGGAATTGCAGTTGGAGAGTATTTTCGTGCAGTCAACAACGATGGAAAAATCGTGCACCAGCAGCGCCAGAGCACTGAAAGTCAACGCTGTACAAACGATGGGTAAGACTGTGCTACAGCGATACCGAACACAGCCTATGGTACTACGGTAGAAAGTCGTGCCCCAGCTGCGTCGAGCGGAGAAATGCACGCGATCCTTATAGCAGCAGTCGAAGCTGAGATCGACTGTACTCTATTTTCACAGGCAAAGTGCATAGTAAACCGAGTCTAGCATCGGGTAAGCATGAATAGCATAGTAAATACAGAAATGCAAAGACGGAGGAAAGTCGCAAAGGGGGTAATGCCGAATGAGAGGGTGAATTACGGGAAAATTCGATTACTCTGCCGGGAATTGCGGTCGGCTGCAGTTGCTGCTGCCGCCAGAAAAAGAAGACAAGATTGTTTGGTGGAAAAGCCAACAAAGGCATAGTGTAGCACCGTGATAGAGAAGGAAAGAGTGGCGATGCTTAAGATAACCACTACACATCCCAGATAAAGCGAAACGAGCAGTTCCCTATTGTGAGATGCAGAAAGCTGAGCTTGACGCGAACCGCAAAGAGTGGCTGAACTGATAGTGCCATGGTGGCTAGAAGACACAATGATGAAGGCAGTGATTGGATAAGAAAGAGAGGAGCAGAATTCAAGGAACTAGGGCAAAGCAAGACGAAAGCAATACTGGACTAGGCGGGGGTGGGCTGGGGCGCTGTTGTTGATGGCCGCTACTAGCCGTGGTATGTTGATACGGTACATGGACATCGACTTCAGGTAAGAGAAGGACCATACTAGTTGGTTTCATATGAATATTTTTCGACAAACATACAATACGTTGAGAGAAGACGGACTTCAATTTATTCTACTATATCATTGAAAACATAAGTGATTCGCTTTAGTCAAAAAGGTACTTCTGAGACTTTTTGACACAGGCTTTCGTAATTGCAATTCTCTCCTATAAATGCTTCTAAAATAAAAGTGACGCAATTGTTTCTGGGTCGCGCGGTGTGCAACGAATACTGCTGGGCAAAACTCATCAATAATGGCCCACTTTGAAATGTAGATGATGCACATGTGAGACAGAATATAGGATAGTGTACGAAAGAAAATAAAGGCCGTCCCTTACGCTAAAACGTCAGCTAGTTTCAGTCGGTTTTTTTGTTCAGATCGAAGTGGAAGGTCTGCTAACGATACAAGAGTTCCTTTAAATTAAACTTTCTTTACACTGACACTTCATGCTTAACTTTATGTTAGTTTAGTCAAACCTCTGGTATCAATGTTGATATAGCTTCTGTAGGATGTGCGAAAAGCTCGATTTCGATCGAACGCGAAAAAAAAACGGCGAACCGAGCTCGTAATTAACCAATTTCCATAGTGTTGTTACAGATTACAAAATTGGATAACTTCCTACGAAGCTGTGTTGGCTGGCAATGGAACAAACGACCTCAGTAAAGATCGTTCGTAACCCTATGATATGTAGTGCGGCAATAAACATACCTCGTTCATAAAGTTCGTCGCATTACCTAAATACAATCAAACTTGAGTTGTAGTTTAATATATTACCCGTTATCTTCGCTAAAATCGCTATAAATAAAAGTTTAAAATAATCCTACTGCCTTAACAAGTAGGTGTCTGTAATACATTAGGCATAAATCAGTTTGTGGGTAGCGTGACCAGGTCTGTATTTTCTGATTTGAACACCTCTTTATTTTCATCGGTGACTAGAATTGTATTCAAGTCACGAATCGACCGACCTCTTTGGCGGGACGATTTGAAATGTACAAGCTATGTTCACGAGTCACCTCAATTTCCGTGCCGTTTCGTGTCGCCCTAAAATTTTGGTAAAACGGTATTCAAGTTGCGAAATGCTGAAAACAACGGCAATAGTCCAACTCGCCGTATCCTAATTAAAACGACAGACAGAAGAGGCAGTTGCCAAAGTCGTCATTAGTGGTCGACCCAGTTAACTTTTGCTCGTAATCGGCTATGCAAACATGTACATGCATATGGACTACAGGTTGGCAGGTTGAAAGATTGACCCACAAGTACCATCACGCTTTGTTGCATCCGAAGGCAACATATGTAAAGGTGCGCATACAATGCACTCGCGTGCAGGTCGTTTCCCGTCGTCGCGTCGATAGCACGAACGTCGCGCCTATTTGTCGTGTGCGTCTGCGTGTTTACTAACGAACGACATCGAACCCACTTTCTTCCTTTCCACCCTCTAGTCGTACTGCATCATTATGCCGCTGACGTAAAATTTGTTGAATTAGTTAGCGTCGCAAAGTTAGCGGTACGTACCTATTCTGGCTAAGCCTAACTCGGATTATCAGCGTCAGGTTCTAGCAGACGACGCTGTTTTTACTGATGTGGTCGAGCCGAATTTAGTTCAGCTTACAAAAGACCTCTTTTAGTACTTGATTCTGTTTCTATAGGTTTTATCATCGTTGTGATGCTGCAGTGCTTGATAGCACTGTGACCGCTTCTTTCGTCGGAGTTCTTAACGCTGTCACCTTCCTGGCATCGTTGCTTACTTTGTTTGCGGTGGTCAAAGGTCGCCATTGATCCGGACAGTGATGGCGGATGCCGCTTGCGGCGGCATTCGTAATGCTTAATCTATAATATGTTTATGAAATCAAATTCGGCTAAATACCCCGTCCTATCTGCCGCAGAATAGACAGGAAACTTTAGCGAGGCCATCAGGAGTACAAGCGACAAAATATCATTCGTCTCGTGCCGCTTATCTTACCGTAGTTGTCCGTAAGGAGGCTATGGCGGCAGGTGTGCGATGGTGAGTGCCAGCAAGCGATCGAAATGCTGGCCATGATGGCCGCCTGCTCGATTAGCATCGGATCGGGTCTTATCCAGGACGTAACAGAAACCAAAGAACAGTTTTGCTGCAGTTTCTATTGAGGCGTTTTGTATAACGGTGTATGTGTACATATTGGAGAACGTAGAGAGATCACCTATGTTCTACCGTTCCTGTACGTCTCGCTGGCTGGTCCAGCAGTTGGCAACTGCTGGCGTACTAATCTAAACCATACGATATGCATATGAATACGCATAATGGATTTAAAAAAATGACCAGTGTAAGGGGAATTGAATATTTACAAACAAGAGAACGAGAGATTTGTTGCTAACCAAATCATTCATAAAATGTTACCCAAAAAAAAAAACTGTGAGCATACATAAAAAAACAACTGTCAAGGATTACGCTTCATTGTTCAGCGAATTACAGGATAAACAAGTTGAGCCTCTTTGGCCTACCGTTTCTTCACAGTAAAATTAACATAAACGATACTAAATTTAACGGGACAGATATAGCTGTTGCGTGAAAAAAGCTCTTTTACCGTTGAAGCGCTTTTTTCTTAACTTGCTTTCTTACTGTTGCTCTATAACACGGAAGCGCCGAAAGCTCCTATCAAACATGAGCGCTATGAACGTTTGTCCTTTTTATCGCTATTATTTACCCTAAGAACCGTACTATCAGCAGAACCGGCAACGTTCTCTATCTACCCAGAAACAGTAGCGTTCGTTAGGTACGAATTATGCTATGATGTGCTTACTGCTCGTTAAGCGGGACTTTTTTACGTATGGTGTTTCCTATCTATCCGCCTTCACACTACCCCACTCGAACAGTAGAGCCTCCCTTTAAGCGGCGACTTCCCTTTTAGGGTGTTTCGAACCCCCTATAGACCTCCCTGATCAGTCGCTCAGTAGGGGTTCCGTGCTGTGTCCGTAAGAGGTTCCTTAGAGTTAGCATGCTTCTCTCGCTATGGTCGACAGAACTTTTACGTTGCCTTTTCATATGTTGAAACTGCTATTGTCATTGATATATTATTGCCGGCCATCGGCCAGTCTGTACCATGAGGGCATCTCATAACGGGGGCCAACAAAAAGCAGGAGGGAGTGCAGTTAGCGGGGCGCGGCAAGTAGGCGAAAGCCTCGGAAACGGTTGACCTCGTAGACTCTTCACTTCGTTGTTGGAGCGGCGGATGCGCCGTGCATCACAACGGGATACGCTGTCTTTGGAAATCTAGCGATGATGAAGCCTCCTATTACGATTATTGTTTCTGCTAGAAGAGTCTATATCCTGCTATATCATCTGATAAATGCTAATAGATTTATTTATTCCAATAATAAGAGTGCGGCACGAAAGTGTAGGCTAAACAAACATCGACAGTTAAAGTGATAAATTTAAATAAACAGATACATAAATAGAAACATAGAAGCCAATGAGATGATGCAGATATATACGTGCCCAACATGAACTTAGCAATAAACAAGTATCAGTCTGTGGCTAAACGCTCTACCGAAATGGAAATGTCACGCTGGTATTCGTGCCTGCTTACGATACCCACGTCGGGAGCGGCTGCTACTCGTACTGAAGAAAGCTCTCAGATGAGACGATCTCGAGCGTTCGAGCATGAACGCATGCTTTGCCCAAACGACGGTGCGGCCGTTATTGTTGCTTGAGCCGGCAAACTTTTCCTCTTGAGTCCTCCCGGGTGACGACAAAGATCAAGGGCTTCCTCTTCTCGAACTTTTTTTAGGCTTATCTGTTTCCGCCTTTTTATTGGAGCTGACTGACGAAACGCGATTAATAAAGCTCAATTTAGAGGGCATAGAGTGCGATGTTTTCCCAGTTGCTCGACTGATTAGCTACCTGCGTAGGATCGGTGACTAACTTAGGTCATTGCACTGACAGAGACGTACGGCTAACGATAACCAGGTCGGCTCCACGCGAGATCTGCCTAATTTAAGTATTCGTAGATTTAGGTCGGCACTTCTTCTTCTGAGCGAAACAAGCGTACATGATAACTGAAGCACGATAAAACGACGTCTGTCGTACAGATAATATTATATTGAAATAAAACGGAACGAACAAAATCGATGTTGCCCCACTTCCTGTGCAGGCATAACGATTCTAGCCACGTAGTGGTATCGGAGTTTGTTGATTTGCCCCTTTAAAGTCGACAGGATTAGCCTGGCAGTTTTTCATTGCAGTAATAGCAGCAGTATGGTAGAATATATTCTAGCTAGGTTGAAGGAGTATTTTTTTCGTAAATAAGTTACTTTTCAACTAGCTTGGTTAGTGATTTTCATTTAATCTGACAGCACAGAAGGAAGTCACTTGTTTAGACGCAGGATGTTGTATGTCTTCATTATTATTTGTTTCGATTAAAACACGTTTTGCTGTATTACGTTAATTATAGATATAGATACATTAGCTGGTAGTAAGTATCGAAGTTAAGGAACTTGATCCGCATTTACTAACGTTTTTTTTTCAGCTATTTGCCATGCATACACGCCGTGTTTGAGTCGTGTAGAAAGAAGAGGATTGATATAACAATTAGCCGAAATCAAAGCACTAATTCATTGATCGTAATCGTAGCAGATGAAGCTCGCAAATGATCAGAAAGAAACGTCTGATTTATGGGCATATATTAATATATTATAATTAGTCATATAATAACAGTTGGTTTAAATCGTTATCGAATACAGTCTGGTGCTGAGGTTGTACCTGAGCACAAACTTACTTACCAAAACAAATCTTAATTAAGACAATGTGAGATATATATTTTTAGAGTCGTTCAACGACTCATAAACATACTTACATGACCATATCGATGAAAATATTGATTGCTAATTATTTTTTTTTTATTAATTACTATGATATTTGATAATTATTCTATAATTGTTGCTATTATTACAGCCGCAGCTGTGGCTATTGGTGAAGTTTGGCTATCGAAGTGGGAACTTTTTTTTCCTTC